CCTAAATGTAGCGTGGATTGACCCAGCCTATCTGCACCGCACATATGTGTTCTAATTCTTGTATTGCGGAAGTGCGAACCTCCGCCCTATCATCATCAAACGCCGATCTCAGTTTGACGGTTTGAACCTTTCTTCCAGCTTTCTTCATTATATTCAACGGCTGGCATGCCTGAAAAAAGCAGCAACTTCAGAGGCTTGTCATCTTCGAGTTTCGCCGCCGAGAAAAGATGAGACCACATAGTTTTATTGAAACAATTATCCCCCATATGACTAAAACTCTTTCACTTTCCCAATCTATGACCTAACTATTTTTCCCCCCAAAATAACACCTAAATTCATATTATTTAATAACAATTCGTAATAAATAAATAAATAAATATTTTTATGGACAAATATACCCTTTACGCTATACCTATAAAACCCTAACATCCCTACTCTTTTTCTACAAAACCTAGCAACCAGCCGCACACATCCACCCGCCTCCTGCGCTCACCGCACACCCCTACCGCCGCCGTCCCCCGGACCACTGCACGCACCATGTTCGCCGACCGCCGTCCACCAGTCCATCTCTAGTCACAGGATTGTCTGGCCACGCCCAGTTCCACGCTTGTTCGCCAACGCCGCCGCCACCAACCGACCTTTCCAGTATGCCACCGTCATCCCTACACATGCGTGCCACTATTATCCCGAGTTGTGGGCGCCGCCTCCATCCCGATTCCTGCTCGCCAACATCGTCCCAAGCCCTAGGCGTTGCCGTTCTCGTCGCCGTCCAGCCGCACGGTTGCACTCTATCCAACTCGCAGCCGCGCCCCTCTACTGCTCCTACAACTCTGATTATTCTGTCAAGGCGGCCGAGGTTGATGGCGAACCGAGGTTGAAGACGAACCCTAGGTTGAAGACGATGAAAGAAGTGTGGGGGGGGGGGGGACCGCCCCCTTGGACTTCCAAAATTTTCTACTATATATAATATTTTCATAAAATTTTCATACTTTAATTAGGTATATATGTTTTCTCCCCCCTTAACTTTTAGTTTTCAAAATTAATATATAGGCTCACATAATGCAATGCTTAATTGGAGATTTAAAAGAAGTAGAATCTAAAATAATTTACATAACTTAAAAAAATAAATAATAGAACTCGTTGTTTAAGACTTAGGGTACCAAAAAATTCTTAGTTTTGTAATGTTTAATTATCTTTAATTCTTTATTAGATAATTAGTACTCGATTTTGTAAGATATCAAAAGATATTGAATATCAGATACAATAGTTAAATAGTATAAATGTTTGTTGGCATTAAATTACACATTTCATTTACCTCTTACTTTCTAAAAACAATTTGTTGAATAGATAATACTTTAACTTATTTTAGCATTAATACAAATATAATATGCACCATATATATGAATTAACATTACTACGTATCATATTATTCTAAGTATAATAATGTCATACATACTATTGTAACATTAAGAAAACTCATCATGACCCACAAATACCCTTCTTGGACAAAAATCTTAATTCAAAAACCAATTATTTATTCTGTTAAGATTCATGTGGTTAAACAAGACATAAGTTACTTAAAAAGCATTGATTGATGTGTACCTTTAACTTTAACCACTTTACCTTCAAATGATATCATAAAATGTTATATTACATATATCATATCCTTTCTTATTTTCAAATAATTTTCCTTTAATTTGTCATTTCTTAAACTTTAATGTATCAATATTTTTTTCTGGAGCACTTATAGTTATTAAATCAAAGTTATCTTTTCATTGTCTAAAATTAGAATTAGAATATAATAGATTTAATTGTCATCGTGTATATAGTACTTCGTATGTACTAATGAAACTTTTTAAATAAAAATTAGTCACAGAGCCCTACACTAGCAAAAAAATTCGCCCCGTTACACTAGCGATTTGTTTCCCGTTCCGCTTACTAGCGAAATTTTTTCACTCCCTACACTAATGAAAAATTTTCGCCCCACTTGACTCGAAATCCTGGATCCGTCCCTGCAAATAGGCTTTAATGTAAATTTTTGTATGCATGTGTAATGTGTTTGGTAAGGGAGAGAAACCAGAGGGAGTTGATCACTGGTTAACCACAAAAGCACATTAGACCATTTGGAGTGGTGTGAGAGTCTAAATGTAAAAAATGGACTCCGTCGATATGAAAACAGTGTTTTGACTCCTATTTCTCTGCATTCCAGCACCGTCAATAAAATACACTCTGCACATTTTTTTACATCTCAATTTAGTAAAACATTAATTAAATTATTATAAGTAATGTTTTCCCTTTAATTTTTTCTTTGAATAATTATAAAATAAAAAAAGACACATTTCGATGTAAAATAAATAAATTACATTAATGTTTTTTTTACGTTTTTCGATGAACTGAGTTCAAACTTATTAGAACATTGGATTCTCTTTTCAACTTGTGTGTCTATCCATAACACATTGGATTCCCTTTTCACATGTGTAAAAAATGCACATTCTGATGTTAAAAAAATCTTTAATTTCTTTTATACTTTTTTCTGCTATTAAAATATAAATTGGGTTTAAAATTGGGTTGAACTACTGTTTGTCTATTTGTGGAGACACCATGGTTTAATAAATTTATGTTTCGTGTATTTTTTTCAGCCTAAAATACTCTAGCGGTTTGAACATCATTTATACATTTAATTTTATATATGTGATATTGGTGTCATATGAAAGATCATAAAAAAAATAAAAAATTTGATATATGTTTTGTAAAAATTGAAGCACAAATAAATAAGTTATCACACTTTTAAATAAGAAAATATTTTTTATGTGGTCCCATTATTCTTCCGTATGCCCCCTTTTTTGTTGTCCACTTTTTGTTTCAGGCATCATTTTCCTTTTTTCCATACTTTTTGGCTGTCAACCCAACCTTTTATATATGAGACCTTCTAACCAATTTTCCATTTTTAGACTCCCAAATTGGTCTCCAATGTAAGCATTTAGACCATTTGTAGTGGTCAAGAGTCCAAATTGTTAAATTTGGACTCCGTCCATATGAAAACAGTGTTTAGACTCCGTCAATACTGTTTTTCCCTGCATCCGTGCACCGTCAATATAATACACTCTGCATATTTTTACATATCGATTTAGTAAAACATTAATTAAATTATTATAAGCAATATTTTCCTTTTAACTTTTTGCCTGGATAATTATGAAATAAAAAATACACATTTCGAAGTAAAAAAAAAATTCAATAATTTTTTATATGATTTTTTGTTAACAAAAAATTAAGATAGTTCAAATAAAATTGGATTATGGAATATCCAACTAGTATTTGTGAAGGCTCAATGAATTAAAAATTTGTATTTCGTGTTTTTTTGGGTTCAAGAAAACTTCAACAGTTAATTTGTTTTTGCATTTTATATATTACATATTGGTGTCATATGAAAGATCATAAAAATTCATGAATTTTGGTATAATTTTTGAAAAATTCGGAGAACAAATAAAAAAGTTATAAGAGTTTAAAATTAATTGGGATTTTAATGACATCTGCATGACATCATCATGATGTCAGCAGAACGCATGAACAGAAGAGCGCCTCGTTTTTTCTTTTTTTTTTCTTTTTCCTTTTCTTTTACACTGTCAACCTAACCCTCTATTTATACACTCTTCCACTCCACTTCCCACTTTTACTCCCCCTTTTAATCTACCACTATACCAAATTAAGAGTCTAAAAATTCCATTTTTAATCTTTTGACTCCTAATCTATAACCACTACAAATGGTCTTAGGAGTCTAAAATTTCCATTTTTGACATTTCAGTTATTTGTGAAGATTCCATGAATTAAAAATTTGTGTTTCGTCATTTTGTAAACGGAAGAAAACTTCAACAGTTAACACTTAAGATTTTTTGTTTCATTTTATATATTACATATTGGTGTCATATGAAAGATCATAAAATTTTATGAATTTTGATATATATTTTGAAAAATTCGGAGAACAAATAAAAAAGTTACAAGAGTTTAAAACAATTTGGGGTTATAATGATGTCACCATGATGTCAGCGAAAACATGGTTTGGCCCGTCATGCAGCGTACGAATCCATCCCATCCCCTTTTTTCTTTTCTTTTTTATTTATTTTTGGCTGTCAACCTCTCCCTCTATATTTACACCCCTCCACTCCCCTTTCCACTTTTACTCCACCTTTTAATCCCCCACTACACACAAATAAGAGTCTAAAATCTCCATTTTTAATCTTTTGACTCCTAATCTCAAACCACTACAAATGGTCTTAGCAACCAGTAAAGTGCAGAATCACATGTAAGCACGTGTGCATATGGGGCCTAATTCTCAGCAGTTTTGCACACACATGATTGCACGTGCGCGCACCATTCAATCTTAAATGTACTTTGTGCTCCACTTTTACTCCACCATCTTCTTCTTTGTGTGGATTAATTTAATCTCATTTAATTATTAAGAGGCTGTTTAGTATCACTATTTTTCGGCTTATCACAACTTTTTCATCAAAAACGCAACTTTTTCTTTCGCGGGCTGAATTGTGTAATAAGCATAAAAAGTAAGATTGAAGTTACTTTTTTGGCTGTATTGGCTGAAGTTACTGTAAGTGACCATTTTAACTATTTTTAGTTTTTACATATAACTTTTTCTTTATTTTAATAATAAAATATTTTTTAAAATATTTTTTTCTTAAATCAGCAGAATCAGCCAATGCAGTCACTTCAGCCAAAACTTCATAAATTTCAACAGAATCAACCAAATCAGTCAATTTTGGTGCTACCTAACGGACTCTAAGTGATTGGTACATGCTTTTCCCTGTCCGGGCTTTAATGCTTGCTTCTGGTCATATCTTCCTAATCCCAGCCCCTTGGCTCCAGGCCATTTTCTCCCTTTGCCATTTTATCACTCCACGTTCTTTTTAGACCAAAATCGGGTACATTCACTGATAGTATACCTTATTTGACAGCCGAACGACCACATCATTATAATCAGTGGGGGGACGGACACAACCACGGTAAATAGGTCCCGGAGAATAGTCCTTTAAAATCACTTATAATTCATACTCCGTATATATTATCAGTCCAAAATGTTTAAAACTCACATTTTGGAATTTGGACCACTATGTTGTTGCATTGAAGGAAAAATTTGGGAGCTAATATTGAAACGTGTGAATGCCAGATCTAAAAGTATAAGGAAGGTATAATTTTTCATTTTTACAATAACCGTATGAAAAACAATCGAAACTCATACTACATAACTTTTTATGATCTTTCATATGAGACCAATATTGCATATTATCAATATAATTTCTTTTCTAAAAACTAAAGTTCTAACTGCGAGAGTTTTTTAGACAAAAAAAACACGAAACTCAAATTTTTATATCTAGTTAGTTTGTCTGCAAAAGGATGTCGATATCTCACATCCAGTGGCAGGCGTCCTTGCCAGGGGTAGTGTTTGGCAAGTTGAAAGCAGGATGGTTCAATTCGGGTACAACCAATGGTGTAATATATTGTGGTCGGCCATGATTGAGGTCTGCTTGAATTGAGCTTTGTTATTTCGTCCACAATGAGATGTGAGGCTTGCTTGTGGAACATTGAAACCAGGTTCATGTGTTGCACCTGTTTTTTCAAATGGCAGGAGAAGTATGTTTTAATAGGGGTAAACATACTCCTTTTCCCTAAATAAAAGTAAAACATAAAATTTTTCTAAATAAGACTAAACATTAATTTTCTATGCATAATATCCCTAGTCTAGCTAATTAAATAATACAAGTAGTTGTCCCCCGATTCTCTTGCATAATCGGGTGGTCAGTCGGTTGGTGACAGGTCAGTTCGGTGATGGTGGAGGAGATTCGGCCACTAGTGGCAGCAACAGAGGAAGCACTCTAGAACTTTTCGGTGGATTCCGACAGCGGCGGTAGATCAAGCAGTGGCAGATCGGGCGGGGCAGTTACGTAGATCTCTTCTCTACGAGTATTCTTGTCCAAGAATAAAAAAACTACTATTTTGAGAATTTTAAGAATTTACTCTTATATATGGGCGTTCTTCATGATTTCTATTTGGAGAATTTTGTCAAAAAGAAAGTGTTAGAAATGCAAAAAGAGAGTAGCTATATTGCTAGAGAATGATAGGTTAGAAATGCAATGGAGTACATGTGCTTTTGTACAATATACTCCTTGAATTGTAGAGGGTGATTTACTTTTAGGAAAAATTGAAAATAATAATCCTAACTATTGCCGTTCCGCTGAAAATAATCCCAACTATTGATTATGTTTGTATAATCCCAACTATATAGACTATCCGCTAATAATGGTCCAAGACCAGATATTACCTCTATAAAAAGTGAATTTTAAATAGAAATTAAGTGTAAAAATTAAAAGTTGAGATTATTTATAGGGATTACTTGTTATATCTCATCTCATCCACTTTAGAAACTACAAGAATTTATTCATAGGGACCATTATTGGCGGAAGGTACATAAAGTTGGGATTATTCTGGAATAATCAATAGTTGGGATTATTATGAGCGGACCGCTAATAGTTGGGATTATTACTATCAATTTTTCCTTACTTTTATTATTATTATTAAAAGTTAAGTGATAGTATTTGCCATCAAAAAAGGTCACACAAACTGTATTTGCTAACAAAAAGGTCATGAAAAGTGTAATCCATATGTCATCATCATCCATCATCATCATCATTACATATGATTTCCCGTGCCCACGATATATATCATAGCGCAATTGGTACACACTTTTTGTACACATCCTGTACAACCCATAATAGTTTATCTATAGTAGACATCAAGCAGCACCCCACAAATACTATTGTACGGGGTATGATACGGAGTATTTGTTGAACTCGCCCAGGAATAATGCCGTCTTTAAGAGAATGTGATTTCACACAAAACTGCTTTGTTAGTTTGTTGAGCTTTTTTCAACGTATACTTCACTGGTTGACCTTTCTATGCGGAATAGGTGTTTTTCTCGTGACAAACTTTTCGTCTATGATGTCCTTGAGTGATAAAAAACAACTCAAAAAACAAGGGAAAGTTCCCAAAAGGGAAAACTGTCAAATAAGTCCTCGAACTTTCATAAAAAGGTCAATTAAGTCCTTCTATAGGAGGTTCTGTCCGGCCGTCGCGATTTGGGGCAGTTCCCGGTGGAATTTTTTGATGAAATTTTTTGAGCATCTTATTCACCAAGTCTAGTTTACTCATACCAAATTTCAGCTAAAAATTCAATCGGGAACACATTCAAATTAATTCTTGAAGATAACTGCGCATTTTTGCGTTATCGAATTAATTTGAATGCCCTCCCGATTAAATTTTTAGCTGAAATTTGGTATGAGTAAACTAGGCTTGATGAATAAGATGTTCAAAAAATTTCATCAAAACATTCCACCGGTAACCGCCCCAAATCGCAACGACCGAACAAAGTCTCATATAGAAGGACTTAATTGACTTTTTTATGAAAGTTCGAGGACCTATTTGACAGTTTTCCCTTCCCAAAAACAACAAAAAAAAAAAACGTTTGTAAACTCCAAAATAGAACTGTCATCTTTTTATTCTCAAAATAGGAGTTATTACTGTCATGTTTGGAAAATACTGTCATGTTTAAAGTCTGGTACTGTCAAAACATGACAGTAATTAGTCTCACTTTGGGAATAAAAAACATGACAATCCCATTTTGCAATTTACTAACATTTTTAGTCCTATTTTGGATAAATTCTCAAAAAACAATTGAAGTTAACAATTGACAGTTCTATTTTGGAATTTACTAACATTTTTAGTCCTATTTTGGGTAAGTTTTCATCAAATCATATTGAATTTAACACTGGTTCTAATTTCTCTATTTGATGAAAATGAAATTTGTAAAACACCTCTTAATTTTTCTACGTGTCGTACATTTGATGAAATTTGTAAAACACCTCATAATTTTTCTACATGCATCGTATATGTTGTCAGTAATTTAATATGATTCTCTATATGCTCTTTTAGCCCAAATCTTTAATACTCTATATCTATTTGTTTAAGAAAAAATTGTCAATATGTGATTATGTAAATACAAAATAAATTACTCACACTGTTAAAAGTTACTTTCAAATTAGGAACACGCAAAACCTTACAGTGTCAAAACGTGATTGTAATTTTTTTTAATTATTTACAATTTTACGATTTGAAGGATTTTGACTCTGAATTGTTCTCATTTATCTGAGTCTAACCATGTTGGACCGGACCCAGAATTTGAGACACTGTCACCCTTCCTTTAATATCACGCGCCTGTGTAGTAGCACGAAAATCGACTGTTTTGGCTGATTTTGTTGAAATTTATGAAGTTCTGGCTGAAGTGGCTGCATTGGCTGATTCTGCTTATATGTAAAAATAGTAAAATGGTCATCTACAGTAACTTCAGCCAATACAGCCAGAAAAGTAACTCCAACCTTACTTTTTTTTTGCTTATGACATAATTCAGCGCGCGAAAGCAAAAGTAACGTGTTTGGTGAAAAAGTTGGCTGATAAGCCCGATAACCCGAAAAACAGTGTTGCCAAACGGCCTCCAAATTTAATTTAGACTTTGCGTATCGAATACAATCTATTTATATAGAGAAAAGTATCAAATCAGCCATCGAACTAACATCAATTGTGCAAATCAGACCTTATATATATGAGGCTCTGTCCAGCCGTCGCCATTTCGGCTGGTTCCCGGTGGAATTTTTTGATGAAAATGTTTGAGCATCTTCTTCATTAAGTTTAGTTTAGCCATACCAAATTTCAGCTAAAAATTCAACTGGGAAGGCAATGAAATAATTTTCTGAAACATACTGCGTTGTTTAACTGCGTAGTTTTCTTCAAAAATTCATTTGACTGCCTTGCTGATGCTTGGTGGTGGTCATTGTGAGAATTGGTCACTGAGCGGCGATCATTGTGAGAATTTGTGACTGAGCGGGAGTCACTGTGGGAATTGGTCACATGGCGGGAGTCATTGTGTCATTGGTCACTGGGCGGAGTCACTGTAGGGTTGGTCACTGTAGTGCGTTAGTTGGTTTAGGGAGTGTTTGCAACTGCTTCTCCTTAAAAAAAGCACTTTTAGAGTGATTTGGAAAAAGTGGTTAGTAGTAAAAGTTGATAGTGTTTGAGAAAAAAGTGATTTTGAAAAGTAAAAGTTGGTAGTGTTTGGTAAAATAAGTGCTTTTTTTGGATGAAAGCGGCTTACATTGATATCAAACCATTTGGAGTGTAGGTAAAATGACAATAAAACTTATGAAAACCGCCGTCTCGCGAACCAAACTCAGAGTTAATCACCTCGGTAATATAACTCGTTGATCCATTTATGGGCACAACTGAGCCAGTGACGGTAATCGCAGTTAGATCATCACCCACATCCAAACTCAAATCCATAGTCTTACAATCGAAGGAGATAAAGCAACAAACAAACACAGACAAAATCAGACCATTAAAATAAATAAAAGCAAAAAAATAAATTTCTTCCCTCAGCTTTCCAAGAACCACCGGCGGCGGTTCAGGAGGGGGTTGGATCGCCTTCACTTCATCTTCTTCCTTCATCGCCTTGATCGGCCTATATCCATGAACGAATTACCGGAAGCCGGCACCGCTCCTCGCGAAAAGACGATAGCGGACAAGTAAAACTCTAGCGGTGAAACCCTAGAGATAGAACACGAATCCAGGACGATGCAATCCTCCTCCTCTTTGACCGACGAAATATCAATTGCCACAGTCTTCATCTCCTCCGCAGAAGTCCAAGCTTGTCGCGTCTCACGAAGTTGAAGCAGAAGACGTCTTCGAATTATCAATCGGTGAAGGGAGAACAACGGCTGCCTAGGTTTTCCAAAAGCCGTGAGAGCTAAAATAAGTGTTTTTTGTGTAATAGGAAAGAGAAAAACACTTTTCACACGAAAGCCAAGAAAAGTAAAAATTGGTAGTTTTGGTAAATAAGTGCTTTTTAAGCCAAAAGCCGAGAAATGCTTTTTTAATCAATTGCAAACCAGCCTTTGGTAAGGGTAAAATGGTCCATTTACTCTTTTAAGTCACATTTTTGGAAAGGTCATTTTTTGTCCAATCTCTACTTTTTAGTACGGAGTAATATTCATGACAATACCGCATTTCTAACCTTTTCTCTCTTACTCTATTTTTTTACAAAAACATATTAACTATTGCAATATAATATTTTATGATCTTTCAATTCGTATGACAACTATCAAATAAGCCCCCCAATTTTTCAAAAAAATCAATTAGTCCCCCCAACTAAAATATGGTCCAATTAAACCCTCTAACTCATTTAAAAGTTGCAAATCGTCTTTTTAACAGGGGATGAACAAGTAACCAGTTATCTTAAATAAAAGCTTATAATCCTCAATGAAGGTTAGGGCATTTTGGGGCTGAAAATTGTGTTGGTGTAATCATTTGCTTTATTGAATGGTACATTGGGTTTTATCCTGTGTACTTTTTAAATGGAATTAATTTTTTCCGTTCAAGTCCCGTTAATAAGTGTCGTCTCTGGCAGCTGAACTTGATTTCGCACACGTTGAGCTCCCCCACGTTTCAAACTCGATCGCCCCTAACTTGGATTCGCGCATAGTAGGTCTCATACAAACCCTAACCAAACAGCGCTGGCTCCAGTAGTTTCCCTAACCAAGCCTAACTTGCATTTGTGTTGATGCCGTTTCTCTGGATTTTTCGCGCAGCTTTGGAAAACTTCCGCGCTTCAAAACCTCCTTTGTACTGTAAGCATCCTCTCTCATTACTTTCCTTCCCTGTTTGTGCTGCTTTTGAGTTCCCTTTTGCTTGCTCACACAATGACTCATCTGCTTAAAGAATGTTATTTCAGTGCCTATTCTGTTTGAGTGTTGATAACCGCTTTCGCAGCGTTGTAGTAAAACGGAGTCTAACCTTTCGGTTTTTCCCCGAGTATCCTGTCTCTCGAGGAATGGCGGAGGAGCTTCTTGATTTTAAGTCCAGTCACAGGTTATCGCAAATTATTGGAAGCTTTCCAAATTAAAACTTTTGATTGATTTTCTAAACTACTTTTTGGAAAAGGAAGTAAAT